CCCCCCAAACACTTATTACTTCTACTCTCATATTATTATCATATAATATTTTTGTTTTTAAAAAATGTACAGTGAAAGAACTTTACAAATGAATCGGTTTATGTGCTAGACACACAATCGACCATTATGATATGAAGGCAGGGGGATATTGGGTCTTCTGTGAAATCATTCTCCTAATAAGGATGTCAATGTTTGAGCAAACGAATATGGTACATAGAAGCATATTTCAAAATGAATTGGTGAATAAATGGATCAATGGATGAATGAATGAATGGATGAATGAATGAATGAATGAATGAATGAATGAATGAATGAATATGTATTGGTTTCAAGTAAAATGCCAAGTTGACTGCAAATTTATGAAAGAAAAATTCATAAACAAATAGGTGAGAGAGTAAATGAATGAATAGTCTTCAGATTTATTTGGAAACATAGAAGCAGATCTAGATTTATCATCCATGCTTCCCTTTAGAGCTGAACTCGATTCATCTCGATTCTTATTCTCTTTCTATTTCCCAATTAGGTCTTTTTCGACGTGCCGTGCCACTTCGCTGCCGCAAGGCGCGAACGAACGCCAAGTCTTCTGCTAATATGGCCCCAGGGCTGGACACACAGACGCGCTGGATCCAGACGACACCAAAGCGTCTGCGGAACTCTCGTATTACACGGAGTTGACCGATTGATGAGACTGATTTCTCTGGAATAATACATTTTAGAATATTGTTGTGGTTATTCTTTATTTGCGATCTGGAAGTTATCGACAAAGACCTTGTATTCTATTTGGTTTGATGAAACATATTCGGATGTTTTCTTTACACCTCGTTTCTTCTCGTGAGGCGTTTCGAACCACAACAGCTTTTCTATAATTGTCTTGAGCTGGGATTTGGGCCTTAAACGCGTTATCAAATTCTTAACCTTCTCATTTCCATACAATCAAGAAAAGTATGGAATGAAAAGAGTGTTACGATGTGAAACACCTGTAGGCTACATAAATCGTTTCCGTAACCCTTGGCTTATGGAAATAACAGAAGTCGTGGATTTGTAAATTCTTTCTCGCACGTGTGTGAATGACAAGGACAAGATATTTTTGGTAAGTAAAGCATATTTATTTACCGACTTTATATTTTTACAAATTTATGTAGACGTTGTATGTTCACATTTGTTGATTTATGTTACAGCAGTCAACGTTTGCCTGTCATGAGTTCTGAAACTGAGCACTATTCTTTATTTCTAGCGTGTAAGAACAAACTACTGCCTCTCCTCTAACATTCTTTCCTCCCTGTCGCGGCCCTTTAATTCGCACCCCTCCCCCCCCTCTCT